GGAGTAATGAGATGTAATGCTGTGCTAAGCCCTCCGACAAGCGCTAAGAGAGTTGTGACAACATAGATCCAATCGAATCGACGTGCGAATGTATAACTACAATAGACTGGTGCACATGCACGATAGTATGACGTATAACTTGTTTCATTGAGAATCTCTTCAATGAAAAGTTCATTGACTAGTTGTTCCACTATTGTTGTTGGCACGAAACGACTTGCAAAGGAATCATTTAGGATTGAAACATTGATCCTTTTTGGATAAGCAGAGAGAAGAATCTGCAGACATGATTCATTGTAGAAACATTCCAAGGACGAAGCGAGCGTCATTGTTAAGGGCAAGCAATCAAATATCAAGCCTGGTAATGTTTCATTAGCGATAAGATTATTGAGATTGAAGACTCCGTATTGGTCTCGAACAGAGTACAAATATAGACCAGCAGGCATCGAACATGATCCATTACTTTGACATTTACATCTTGTACTTGTTCCTCGTAGGATATAGTCGTTATCCGTTGTCCATACATACCCGGTTTCAAAGGAGACCCTTCCTGGTCGAAGAACAACAGCGTTTGTTAACAAGCCTGTGATGAACACGTTTGCTTGTGTAATTTGATGAATTGTGGTAAATGGGCGCACAAAAGTACTCGATGCTGTTCGACGGACTAAATCAAGAGCAGCTATGCTGTGCGCTTTAAGTAGTTCTTCGGATAAGAGCATTGAATTGACCAATGTTGAATTGGTAAACTGGTCGATTGCATCGACAAGACTATTTCTTGCACTTTGGCATAGAGCAGCAATCAGTTGCCATATTGTGCTCAAGCTTGTTCGTATGTCCATCGGCAAGATGAACGTTGTATTCGTTCCAAATGTAAAATCAATCCATGTTTGAGAGACAAAATTACTAGAGCAGACTTGATGAAATACTGGGACAATGTTGAAAAATGTTCCATAGGGCATCGATATTTGTGCACATGGACATTGAAGAATGCTCGTATAGCTCTTGTGAAGACTTTCATACACAGTCTGCGTTGGCCGTTTCACTGTTTCACTTCTCATTTGTACACTGAGAGACGTGTACAAAGTCAGAATGAAAACGGAAACAACAAGTAAGAGGAGATATAGACGAGTGAATAGCAACCCACGACGAACTATCTTCGAATCTGTTGATTGCGAGTCGTAAATATTCAGTGTAAGCAATTTCTCACGCACAATATTACACATTGATCGTAATGGACATGCTCTGGACATTATAATGTTGTCGAGAAATGATTAGGACTAGACTCACCGTTCGTTTTTCTTTGGCTGTGTCTTTCCTTTTAGAAACTCATAGAATGAACAATCAAACAATAACAACTCTTTTCTTAATAGTATGCCGATAATGAAAAAGAAATGAGCAGAAATGTTTTCTCATTACTTTATATATGGTTGAGAGAGCTCGTTGAGCTCGATAATAACATAGCTTTCGTTTAATTTTGCGTAGCGGGAGAAAATTTTAAGGGAGAAAGTCTCCCAAAGCTAAAGAGAAAAATGTTTTTTCATAACTGTTTGGTAGAAAATTTTAAAGAGAAAATGAATTAATTTCAAAGAAAAATAAGTTAGTTGCAAAGAGGAAATACTTTAGCAACAAGGAGAAGATAGTTTAGCAACAAGGAGAAAATAGTTCAATGACAAAGAGAAAATAGATTAGTTACAAAGAGAAAATGGATTATTTTCGCTTTGAAATCAATTTATTTTCGTCAGCTGTACATTAGTCTCTCAACGAAGCAACAGGTACTTTTCGTAGAAATATTAAGAGAAATTGTTTTGCATTAGAGAAAACAACTGATTCAATTGTATAAAGCTCATTTCGCCTATGAAAATATGCTAATTGTTCGAAAAATTTCCACGGAGAAAGCTAAAAAAGAAGAACAAATTTTGCGGGGGGAAATCGCCCAGTCCTCCCCCCCCCCCGCTAATCGTATGCCCTGAATAATAATATGCTAGTTTCAATCTTTGAATGAAATTTCTTCATATCAATCAATCGAGAACGAGTTAATATTTACAATCATAGTTTATTGCGTTGCATTTCTTCTCCTGAAAGTTTCATAGTAAAAAAAGCCTGAACTTATCTCCATTTTCGCACGTCTCAGTATTTCTCCTCCATACTGTATCTCTTTTTTCAAATCAAATGGCTTTTTGGAAGCTGAAAAAATAGCTCAACGAGGAACTCATTTCTTGAATGACGTTCTACTATTTTCCATATACACTTATCCGAATAAAAAAAAATGTAGTTAATGAATTTTTTTTTGATTGCGCTATCTTTATTGTTACACTCGGAAGTGCTTACAAAGAATAATGAATACATTCACATCTGGTTGGTTCACCATATCATGAATGATATTAGCATACAATGAAGCACTGTAGATGTAAATATATCATGTTGAGTAGGCAAAATGTGATAGAAGGGAGAGAAGAAGAAAACAAAAAAAAAAGGAGAAAAAAAACATGAAGAAAGGAGAGAAAAAGAAAAGAAAAAAAAGAAACAAGGAAGAAAGAAAAAAGATGAAGGGGATCAAGGAGAGACAAGAAAAAACAATGACAACTGATTATGAGAAAAAGGAAAAGTGCCAGCTTAGAACAGAGAGTGAATAGCCTAAATAATTACATGGCTGATTTTAAAAACATAAAAACTCCAGCGATTGAAGAAACAAAGAACGATGTCTTTCACACAAATGTCTAAGTCGCTTCACTCGAAAAAAATGTCCCATATTGTCATATTTTCTCTTTTGAAATGTATCCCAGTAGAATATATCATTGTAAAAAGGTGAATGAACTAAATCGAACTTCTCAATTCTCTCTAATCTTTTCTTTATATATCTTTTTACGTATTCTTCTAAAGACTCTTCGTTTGTTATTTGGAGGAGTTCTGTTGCTCGAGCAAAGGGATAGCGATGAACTAGTCTTAATTCGTTTCTAAATTTTCTTAAAACTAATTTTTTTAGAGTTTGCGGCAGAAATGGATAAAGAGGAAATATCCAGGCAAAATACGAAAAACTGTAAGCAAGGAAATATTTTCGTAGAATCTCTTTTGACAGAGTTTTTCACCTTTCATCCATCTTAATTTACTAAACGTTTTTGAATGTTTTCAAGTGCTTTATCAATCGTTGGTTTCAAGGACATTTTGTTAGTCCAACTAAACCCCAAGTATTTGAACTCTTTAACTACGCATAATCTTTGTTCTTGCATATAGATGTCAACTACTGGATCTTGTACCTGAGAGTGAAAAACCCGCACTACTGTTTTCGATAAATTAATCGGTTGTTTCCACCTCTTGGAGTAGTCTGCTATTTTGTTGCATACTCTTGTTCCTTCTTCTTCTAAAAACTTTATCATCGGCTTGATTCATCGGCTAATTGGAGGAGATATTAGTACATTTGGGTCGCCGGCAAATATATGGCTAGAATGAGCACCTACACACGTGACAAGATCACAGTGATAGACTATGAATAGATATGGGCTCAAACTACTATCTTGAGGTAAACCAACATGAGTGTGAAATATCTCTGATTTACTCTCTCCATATATAGCATACGCACGACCATCATTTAACTATTAGGCAATTAATTTCAATAGTCCTATAGGTATACCAAGTCTGCTGAGCTGAACAACAAGACCTTTATGCCATACTTTATCATATGCTTTCTGATAGTCGATGTATACCGCCAATGTTGGAATGTTTGCTGCCATATTATTTTTCACCTCTTGGTATATGGAGAGGACTCTAGTTGGAAGTAAACAACCTTGGCGGAAGTCCGACTGTTCAACTGGTACTAAATCATTGGTTTCTGCCCAGTGTCTTGCTCTCTCTAATATAATTTTCTCAAACAATTTTCAATGTGCTGCTAAAAGTGGAATCGGTCTTGTTTGTTCACAGCGGGGTACTTCTGCTTTTAGTTTACTCAATGTAATTATCTTAGCTAATTTTCAAACATCTAGATATCTGTATTCGATTAATCATGTACTAAAGCAATTTCCTAAACAATTTATATACTCTGGTGGAATTTGTTTGATCAAAAAATTGGAAACTGCATCGAAGCCAGCTGATTTTTTTTTGGTTTTAATTTTGATATATGCTTCTTGATCTCTAAAACACTTGTCTTTTCAATTTTCTCATTAGACATGACAAGTTTATTCATGAATTCTAGAAATTCAGTGTCAATCTTAACTTCATCCGGATCCGACTTATCCGTATTTTATGCTTTGAATTGTTCCGAGTAGTATCTGTAGAGTTTCTCACTGATTTCTTTTTCCTTTGACAGTACATTTTTACCGGTATCTAATTTTGTAAAGGGCAATGACCTATGTTTATATACCCTGGAAAGATATAACCAAAATGCTTTATTCATATTGTCATGCGTTTCTTGAATTTTGGACAGGAACTCCTGCCATTGACTCGAATTGTATTTTGCACTTGCGATTTTGACTTCTCGTGTTAATACACGTAACAAGGGTGTGGGTGTGGCTATGAATGTTTAAAGAGAAAACCCACACCCCACACCCACCCACACCCTGGTGTTATTCATCTAGTGAGTTTCAGCAACGAAACTTTTTATAATCTATTATATTACTTCATTTGTTTCAATTTATTATATTCCTTGCTGTCCGTGAAGAGTATAATCGATTATCATTTTTTCATCCATGCCAATGCTTCAAAAGAGCAACTTTCTGTTTTAATTTTTTCAGAGATATCTCATTATTTTTAAGTAGCTAAGGTCTCAAAAAACTTCAACCTCAAATTTTTAGCCAATTTACAAACGAGCTTTAAGAATCAAAAATATATACTTAACATACAGTATACAAGACAACAACATTTGGTTCAACTTGATCGAATATGGCTTCAATCCATCTCATTCATGGTGGTCTAATCCTTAAATAGTATAATGTCACTCGTCATGAGTTTATTATCGGATGAACATGTTCAAATGTAAGATGAAAAAGTTAAGTAACATTAATTTTAAAAAGTCATTCACTTCGATCGATGTTAAACTTTTGAACTCGATAATTTCCATTGTCATTCACATAAAGATTGCCTTCTCGATCAAATGATAATCCAGTAGGACAAGATAGTTGATTTGATTCATTCCCTTCCCCATTTCCACCAATAATGACGTCTCCTTCAGTGGCTCCTTCACGCAAGCGTATTATTCGATGATTTCCACTATCAGCCACATATACAGCATCTGATTTATCTACAGCGATTCCAAAAGGACCTGTCTTTTGTGAAAGACTATTTCCTTGTCCTTGACCACTAGCTACAACAATCCCTTCTTTTTCATCTTTCATCCACTTCATCACTCGATAGTTATCGCTGTCTGATACATAAACTGAACGATCTTGATCGACGCAGACATATCTTGGATGATTCAACTGGTCGAGACGATTGCCTTGTCCATTTCCACCTGCAACTACTGTTCCTTCAGTATCTTCCACTCCATATCGTCTAACTTCGTGTCTGTCAAAATCAGCAACATATAAGAATCCATTATCATCGATTGTCAAGCCCTAACATCCTATATTCGGGATTATTGTTTCTACATTCGTATCATTGTGACGAGGCCATCGGACTACTCTTTTATTGCCATAATCGCAAATGATGAGAACATCTCTTTCTTCATCGATTATCACATCTGACGGATAGGACAACTGAACGGAACGATTTCCTGACCCGCTTCCACTAGCTACAACTCGTCCTGTTGTTGAACCACGTTTCCATTCGACAATATGATTGTTCAAGTAGTCAGCAGCGTAAACATTTTGATCATCATCCACACATAGACCCCATATATTGTAAAATTGATTCAATGCACTACCGTATCCATTTCCACCAGCTACAGTGACACCATTCTGAGTCCATTTCGTATTTGGATACAAGTTAACAGAGTGCAGAGATGATGCTAAAACAAAACAAAATATCATGTATTTCTATGATGGTTTTTGATCAATGTGCAAAAAATTGAATTGAATTTCTACTATTTTCCTAAATTTTCTATTGTGGGTAGCATAAGAAATAATACAGGTTGTTCCCAAAATCCTCGATAATCAAATTAAAAAAAAAATATTCATTGCTTTCTAAACCTCTAACATATTCATTATCTTCCAAATCTTCTGTGATGGAGATTTGAGGAGTATGGCGACAATTCATTTCAACCATCTTATCATTGAAAAATGTAATTGATGGTTTGGAAGAGTTTGAAAACTCAATAACTCTCTAGAAATCTTTCTCTGCATGAATTATTTCATTTCTTTATCAACTTTTTTTGAATTAAAATACATTAATTATCCATCAATTTTAGAGCAAAAATTTAGATCCTTCGCCGGCTGAATCATAAAGAAAAGTTATTTAGAACAGCACTTTTCTTGCATGTGATTTTGATATGAGGTTAGCAAACTGACATTCGTTCGATTATGTTCATCAACGAATAAGAACATGCTATACCCTTTGAATAACTAATTGAGGTGATTTCAACATTCATTTTTTGTAGAAATCTTGAAGTGATTTCGCGAGAAATTAAAATGATTCTGTTTATGAAATTATTTTCATACAAAACTAATCTTCTAAGTCTGTAAATGCTTCAAAAAAAATATTGTTATTTTATTGTCTAGTGGACTACCCATGTTATATCTATAAAACAGTGGTATGAATGAAAACAAAAAATCTAGAAAATATTTCAATTTGAATCATCTTTCTTGAGCGACTCGAATTTTTAAAACGTCGGAAACATCAAACTAAATTAAAAATACTTTCGATTGTTACATTATGAATATCGAAGAATTTCTATTTTTCAAACAAATTTGATTAAATATACTCACATTTTGGTTGTTCTTCTTGAATGGAAATAATACGATTCCAATCAATTTGATCAGTTTCAACAATGATAATTTTACTTGTGTCTTTTTGAATAAATTGTTGAAGTTTTTCTTTAAGTCGATCAATATCATTCTCAAGAAAATTTTCTTCTTCGCGAAGATAATGAATTTCTTCTGTAATTGGTTCAAGTTGTTTTGTTATGGTACTTTTCTGTTTATCTATTAATTCGAGTAATTGATGATGAGCTCTTTCTGCTGCTTTTTCTACGTTATTGATTGTTGATTTCTTCCATTGTTCAATTTGATCAAAAAGTCCCGATGGCAAAGAATTTGATTTTTCTATTTCATGAAGAAGTTCATCATGTTTTCTAACTATTTCATCGTCAAATTTCATTGATAGTTGTCGTTCATGTTCTTTGAAATGTTTAGGACAAAAATGTTTTTTACATCCACTACAACAGTATTTAGCTGAAGCCTTATTGCAAATCGAACATAAATTTGATTGATTAACTGTAGTCATTTCTCTTGAGAGACAATGGGTTTAATTATCGTTCTTACTATAATAATACTTCGAAGGATCTCAATCTAGAATGAATTCATTTAGATATATTTATAAAACAAACGTATTTTTAATTTACTGATTTGTTATTTTTCCTCTGATATTCTACATGGAAATCCATGAAACATTCATGCAAATTTATTTGGAAATTGTATCGGATCAAATGAGATGTAACCTATAGTTTAAAGTTATAAAAATCTAACTAAAAATGTTACCCATTTCGATCGTCACTATTGAATTGTGAAATAAAATAAATGTGAACAACATCGAGTAACATACATTTACAAAAAATTCTCTTCTTCTGATATAATAGTTCCTTTATATCACCAGTAGAAATTTCTACAGAGTATAGTCGATTGAGATCATAGGCAATATTGTTTACAAGAAAAAAGTTTCTCGAAAATGCGTTTGATCGATGTAGTTCAATAGCAACTGTGAATTATTGTGTTCCTTCGGAAGAAAGACATGCTGTGAAAAATGAATACAGGTAGAAATAAAAAGCAAAGCCAAGTCAAATGTAACCTGCATTATTTTTCTTACGAAAAAAAGAAAAGCGATGTTAGAGAATGCAAAAAATATTGATTGGTCTTACATAAAAAAATACTAAGTAACCCTTTTTGAAGTAAAGTTTTTTACATTGCAATACAACCACTATGCTGACTGTTTTATTCCATCAGTACGAGTCATTGGATAGTTTGAAAGTGTTTAGTAAAGTGTAAATATAGTGGGCGCCATTATCTAGTACCTTTTTTATGGAGATTTGACTACCAACTTCTATTATTTGTATTAGAATTTCTGGTGATGAGTGCAAAATTCTATTTTATTTCAAACCATATTACTTTCAAAACGTATTATTGGATTAAAGATAATCTTCTGATGGAATATCTTGTAAAGATTTATTTGTTTATGTCTACTGACTTTCTTGGTTAATTGTGTTAGTTTCAGAATTTTGCATGTTGCTGAATGAAAGCTCCTTGAAACTATTGAAAAGAATATTTTCATAGAAAGTTTAAGACATGATCATAATCACACTTATAATTGGTTCTGGTTGTATGAAAATAGATTTTTCTTAAAAAGAAGTGCTTTATTTGTAATTGTCATCAACAATTAGATGGAATGAAATATGTCCAGCTTGGAACAATAGAAGGCAAACCCGTATTTTTGTATAACAAAGTTGGCATTAATTAGAAATATTATAAAAGAGAAAACGTGAATTTCATTGTTTTATTCTTGATAATGACAAAATACCTCTGAATTTTTTTTGACCCAGTCAATTCTTACTATTGGGAGATTATATAAAACAAGTCTTATCGCATGAAGTGAGAATCACTGTGAAAGATATCGATACATTTTCTGATCATGTAAATGCTCTATCACAGTTACTTCTCACATTTTAACAGAATTCTCGATTATCATTTTTTCATAGATGCCAATGCTTCAAAAGAGCAACTTTTCTCTCTATAGTGGGCTTCAAGTTTGACCACAGGAACGTTATTAGATTCTAATAGATAAGGATCTCAGAAAATTCGAATCTTTAGCATTTACCCAATTTACAAATCAACTTCAGAAATCATGGATATCTTAATGATCATGATAATAAGTATTAAGGTAGGAGTACCTCAAAATATTTAGTTAATATACGATATCGAAGGCTACTTCTCATTTGCGAACATAACGAAAATAAATTTTAAGTAAATTAAAATTTTTAAAATTTCGTTTGATTTAAATTTGATAATTTTATTAATTTTTCGTAAAACGATTAAAATTTATATTTAACTTTTAAAAATTTGACTACTGCAAACGAATATTGAAAGTAAATTGTTTTAAAAGATTTTAATAGAAAGTTATTTTTTTACTAATCATGCTGCAATTTGTAGAGGACGTTAGGTTTTGGTTGAATTAAGA